GCCGCTTGTGGGGGGGGGAGCTGTGCCGCCCTGCCTGCCTCTCAGGGCCGGGCTCTGCAGCCCCCGGGGCCGGGCTGCCCTCCAGCCCTGCCAGGGACTCGTAGGAGGGCAGGGACACGCTCAGCCTGGTGCTCCTCTCCGAGTCTCTGGGCTCCGAGTAGCCCGTGTTCATCACCTCCTCGTAGCTGGGCACGTAGTACTGGGAAGATGTGTCTTCATCCTCTTCTTGGCTAGAGGAGGGGAGAAAAAAACCAACCCTAAGGCCACCAGAAGTTCTGGCTTCCCTGGGGGCAGGGGGTGGAGAGGAGAGAGAAAAACCAACCCCCCCTCAAAACCTTAACTAATTATTTGCCCTTCTACATTACATACCAATTCTACACATTATATACCAGTTCTACACATTATATACCAGTTCTACACATTATATACCAGTTCTAAATTACATAACAGTTCTACACTCTATATACCAGTTCTACACACTATATACCAGTTCTACACACTATATACCAGTTCTACACATTACATACCAGTTCTACACATTACATTCTGGTTCCTTCTTGTTTGACAGAACAGATTTCAACCCCAACAGATCACAGCCCCACCTACAAGGGCCTACAAGAAACCTAAATCTCCCCTCTTTCAGCTTAAAACAATCCTCTGCTCTTCCCATCCCTCCCTGCCCTTGTCCCAAGCCCCTCCCCAGCTTTCCTGGAGCCCCTTCAGGCACTGGAAGCTGCTCTAAGGTCTCCCTGGAGCCTTCTCTTCTCCAGGCTGAACACCCCAACTCTCCCAGCCTGTCCCCAGAGCTGCTCCAGCCCTCCCAGAATCTCTGGGACCTCCTCTGGATTTTCTCCATGTCCTTCTTATGTTGGAGACCCCAGAGCTTTTCCCAGCCCTGCAGGGGGGGGTGTCTCTATTTTAGCACCTTTATTTCAACACAGGCTACCAGCTCTGACCCCTTGGAGGAAGCAAGAACCGCTCCTGATGTCACTCCCACCCCTGTCTGCCCCCCGGGGAGGTCTCACCTGTCCTCCTGCTGCGAAGGTTCCGCCGACACCGTGTGGGGCCCGTGGGCCAGGTCCTGGCTCTGCCGCCTCTTGTCGCGGATGTTGAGGCAGATGGAGAGCAGCAGCAGCACCACCCCTGCCCCCACCAGCACGTAGGCCACCGAGAAGGTCTTGCTCTTCAGAACGGCCCCGGTGCCGCGGTCGGGTTTGCTGCTGTTCCCGGCCGAGGGCCTGTTGGCCGGGCCGAAGCCAGGGACGAGGTTCCAGACGGCCATGATGATGCCCAGCACCAGCATTCCCAACCCGATGGCCGTCAGGGCGTAGTGGGAGCCGTTGGCACGGGACTGGGCCATGGCTGCTGCTGCTGCTGGGCTACCTGCACCCGGCGAGGGCCCGGCCCGGAGGCTGCCGGCCCGCTGGCATCTGTGCTGCACCCGGCGAGCTCTGGGAAGGGATGGAAAAGGGAAGGTTGGTTCCCAGCAGGATGGGAAGGCCGTGCAGGCCGTTGGGCGGCCGCGCTAACGTCGTTTCGCCCAACTCGTTAGGGAAATCTAATCGCGCGGCGCCCGCGGAGGGGACGTTGGTCGTTGTCGCTGCAACCCTTGGGTACCTTCTGGGCTGGGATGTGCACCAGCCTTAGAAATGAACAGGGTTGTTATAGAGTGTGTCCAGCTCTGGGCTGCCCAGTTCGTGAGGACAAGGAGCTGCTGGAATGAGTCCATCCCAGAGCACTGAGATGCTGAGGGGCTGGAGCAGCTGCCTGTGGGGAAAGGCTGGGAGAGCTGGGGCTGTTGAGCCTGGACAGGAGGAGTTTGAGGGGGGATCTCATCAGTGCTGGTCAATATCTGCAGGGGGTGGCAGGAGGATGGGGCCAGGCTCTTCTCAGGGGTGCCCAGGGACAATGGGTACAAACTGGAGCACAGGAGGGTCAAGTTAAACATAAGGAAACCCTTCTTGACTCTGAGGGTACCTGAGCCCTGGGACAGGCTGCCCAGGGAGGTTGTGGAGTCTCCATCCCTGGAGACATTCCAAAGCCACCTGGACACCATCCTGCGTAAGCTGCTCTAGCAGAGGGTTGCACTAGATGATTTCCAGAGGTCCTCACCATTCTGTGATTGACATTTGCCAAGCCCCTAACCTGACCCTCCTCGGGGGCATGATGACTGACCTCTTCACAGCACCAAAAATAACACCACCAAAAGCAAATCCCACTGCTCAGAGAAACACTCTGTGGAGCTGCCCTGCCTTGACCAAACAGCCACCACCAGTGCAAACTCCCCAGAGCAAATCCCCAGCAGCACAACCTCTCCCCTCCCTGGGACACTGGCTGCCTGCCCTGCAAGGCTTGGGGAAGAGGAAGCAAAAGTGCAGCAAAAGTGCAGCAAAAGTGCTGCTCACCCAGCCCAGCCAACAGTGCAGCTCCCCCCGAGTGCTGCCAGAAGGGGCTGCTCCAAAACCCCATCCTGCGCTCAGCCCTGCCTTGCTCCTGGCCAGAGTTCACCCCCTCTGGAGCATCCCATCCCATCCCATCCCATCTCATCCCATCCCATCTCATCCCATCCCACCCAGCAGCAGGCTGGGGTTGTCCCACCACTGCTGTTCCCCAGTGGCCACGGGTGGGAATTCCTCCCCCACCTCCTCGATTGTCCTTGCCAAGTCACCAGGACCAGATGTGCTCTCTTCCCAAAAATAAACACCTGGAGCCACATCTCCAGCTGCTCCCTGACCTTGGCTGGTGGAGACACTGTGAGCACATCCCCATCCTGCAGAGCTGCCCTGTCTCCACCCCCCAGCCTTGCAGCAGCCTTCTGGGCAAACTTCCCCTTTTCTGCACTTGCCAGTGCCAGCACAGAGCTGTGCAGATGTGCTGGGGGGTTTCTCCTTCCCTCTTTCCCAGCTTCTCCACGTTTGTTTGTGCGAGAAGATGCCTGGCTATGCTGCTGCTGCCCTCACCCCTCAGCTCACCCACTCAGTTCCATCCTCCCGAGCTTCACAGTGGCTTGTTTAGCTCGAGCACAAGCTCAGTTGGAAGGGTCAAGGGCCAGAATCAACCAGCATTCCCAGACAACAGGCCCAGCTCTGGCTGCTGGCAGGAAAAGCCAAGCACACGAGCAGAGGGGAAAGCTGCAGAGCAACATCCCTGCTGCAGCCTGCCCAGCCCTGTGCCCTGGCTCACCAAGGGATGTCCCAACCCTCTGGGCACAGTCCTGGCCCCACGTTGGGCTTGTTGGTGTTGGGACAGACCTGGGAAGGGCAAAGTCTTCCAAGGTTCTTGGGCCAGCAGGAGCTGCCCAAGGGGAGCTGCTGGCACACAGGGTGGGGGCAAACCCACTGCTCCCCAGTGCCAGCCCAGCACCCTCTGCTCCTTGGGGAAGCATCCCCAGCCCCAGCTGCCATCCCAGCCCAGCAAGCAACTGCTAAGGATGCAGCAAATGAAACACTGGAACATGGTGAGAGCCTGGCCCAGGCTGCCCAGGGAAGCTGTGGCTGCCCCATCCCTGGCAGTGTTGAAGGGCAGGTTGGATGGGGCTTGGAGCAGCCTGGGCTGCTGGGAGGTGTCCCTGCCCATGCAGGGGGGTGAGAACTGAATAATTTTAAAGGTCCCTTCCAACCCAAATCATTCTATGACAGGAATAAAAGTTCTTTTTCCTTCCTGATCTCTCTGGCTTCCCTCAGGCAGGATTTCAGGTTCTGCATCATCCCTGTGCCTGGAAGTTTTACGCAGATCCCTGCAGCCCAGGAAATCAGATTAAAGCTGGAGCCTTGACACACAGTCTGTCTCTCCATTGAATTAACTCTTCTTTTGGCTCTCCAGAGCACCTCCCACCCTGGCTCTAGCAAGAAATGGGTGCCCTGACGTCAGTGGCCAGAGAAAGGACCTGTTGTCACTGCTGCCTCAGGTCCAGCAGCCCCAATGTCTGGAGCAGCAGAGAACACCAAGAACAAAGGGTGCTGCAAACAGGGGGGTTTGGAAAAGCCCAGCAACACCCACTAAACTCACCCCAAAAATCTCCCAGGGGCTGGTACCACAGCTCCAAGGTGCCATCTCCATGTGGCCAGCCCCAGCAGACAGGGTGGAGGGCACAAATAGGCTGCAAGGGAGAAATTCCCTGCTCTGCTCTTGCCTGGGTTTAATAATCCTTGAAGGATTTTTCTCCCTCTGGGAGTTCTTGACCAGAACTGCTCCTCTGTGCTCTCCTACCAAGCAAAGCCCCCTGCATCCAACCTCACCCCTCCCTCCGAGGGGTTCCTGGAGGTTCCCCAGGGCACAGACCCTTCCCTGCAGCCAGAGCCACCTCCGTGGCCCTGCCAATGATTTACACCAGGATCTCCGAATCATTAAACTCTGTGGCTGCAGAGCCAGGGCCCCTCCTCCTCCTCCTCCTCCTCCTCCTCCTCCTCCTCCTGGGAGCTTGGCCAGGCTTCCCGCACCTCTTCCCAGCTCCAAGAGCCAAGGGACGTTTTGTGACTCCTCCTGGGACATTTCCAACTGTTAATTTCCCCATGGGAGGGCTGGGGACAAGTCCTTTCCCAAGCACCAGGATGCACCCTGAAGGTGCAGGGGGGACATCAACCCTCCACGGGTGACACCAGAGCTCCCAACAACCATCCCACCACTGGGACATGGGCCCCCCTGCTGGAATCAGCCCTGGATCACCCTCCCCGTGGAATGCCAGCCCTGTCAGGGTGACTCAGGAGGAAGCAGGACACCCATGGCTGCCCATGGCAGCACCAGCTCCTCTGCCCTCCCTCACCTTTGGATTTTTCCCCTCCCATGACATCACCTTCCTGCTCCAGCAGCAACACCTTTGTCACGGGATCAGGAGAGATGAGTCTGCAGGTTCAGGGAACGGGTCAAACAGCAGTGAGGTCACAGGATCAGCTTTGCTCAGGCTCAGCTCCAGGGATCCCTCACTCCCCAGGAGAAGTCAGAGCACAACACACAGGGCAACACATCCCCTGGGAACCTCCAAAAACCAGCCTGAGGCTCCAGCAGCAGTTGTGAAACACAAGGCTAGAATATTTTTTGGGGAAAATAAGTCTCTCCTCCAAACATCCAAAGAGTCTCAAGCCCACAGCTTCTGTCAGGTGACTGAAGAGCAGAGATGGAGGTTGGACATGAGGAGGGAATTCTGTGCTGTGAGGGTGGTGAGAGCCTGGCCCAGGTTGCCCAGGGAAGCTGTGGCTGCCCCATCCCTGGCAGTGTTGAAGGGCAGGTTGGATGGGGCTTGGAGCAGCCTGGGCTGCTGGGAGGTGTGACACACCAGGAATACTCATGCAAAGGCACTTCCCAGGGATCTTCACAATTTTGGGAGGTGGGACTGGAAGTCCCAGGGGTTTGGTCCCAGCCCCAGCGGAGTGAGATGATCAGAGATGGGGGTGACATCAAGACAGACTGGGCTTCACCTCCCTGTCCAGCTCCAGGGGCCAGGCAGCCCCACATCAGCTCTACCTCCACCTTACACCCAGGCAGCCTGCTCATTAACAGCCGCCCTGCTAATTGGTGCCCACAGCAGACCCCTAGTCCTGCAACGGGGCAGTGACCTTGCCCTGAGCCCCCATGACACAAGGGCTCAACCCACCAGCACCACAAAGCTCCAGCATCAGAAACACAACAGGGCAGAACTCCAGCAACATTTTTTGCCCTTCTCCCTGCCCACGTTACACCTGCTCCAGCAGCAGGGACGTTTCTGGCTGGATGCAGCTGAAGGGACACAGGGAATTCCCCTCTCCTGGCAGGAAAGAAATAGGCAACAATACCCAGCAGAGCTGGGAAAAGCAGCACTGCTGCTGATTTGGCCAATTCCTGTTGGTTTGGACAAATCCCCAGCACGTTTGAGAGCAGAGGGAGTTGAGATCCCCAGAGGGGGGGGCCCTGTACAGACTCTCAGGGCTTTTCCACCTTTTCCTCCTTGTGTTTCCTGCCAAGAGTGCACAGCACTCCTGGCATTCCCTGCAGGCATTTTAAGTTATTCCACCATCATTTTTTCCCCCTTATATTCTATTTTTAACCACTCCCCCTCAATCATGCTCTCACAGGCAGCACCAGAGATGTTTTTCTTCAAATTCTGCCCAAAGTTCTACCCCATCCCAGCCTGGCACCAACCCACCCCAGAGGGCAGCCCATGGTCCCCAGTGCTGCTGCTTCCTGCAAAACAAGGGTGTCCAGGGAAGGGGGAGGTTGCCCAGCCCTCTCCTGGGCTCAGGACCCTGCAGTCCACCTGGCCTGGCTGCCCCAGCCATGCTGATGGCCACGGAATCACAGCAACAGGGCTCCCCAAATGCCCCATTGGCACAACACAGCCTGGCCCTGCCCCAGCACCTGTGTCCCCCATCACTCGGGACACCAGAG